GGAGAGAATTTGGCCGAAAAAGACATGGCTTGGGCGGAGTCAGCTTGCGCCCTTTTTCTGCTAGGATAATTTTTACTTTGCAAATTTCAATGTTTGTTGCATCATTTTTAAACTTAGTAATTATAAATAAGTGAGCATTTCTTGACTCGCTTGTTCGTTCTCCGCTTTTTATATAAGACCGAGCTCGAGGAGGTAGGAGAAGGTGTGTGCTTATTCTTCTATATAGGTCGTGGCCGTCGAATACACAAATTATTGTGTCCAAATCTCCCATTATCTCTTGCTTTTGTCTTCGTATCACTGATACTGAGACTCAGTAATCGTTTTAATCGTTTTTTACTAAACAACTCTTCAGCGTAGTGACATGAATATTCTCTAAACAACACAACGCTGAGTGGAAGTTGGTAAAGTCTCTACAAGTTTCTAATGGTTTTTATACTAACTAGTACTCAAATAGATCCTTTCAAACAATTTACCACATAATAAGCCAAATAAGTCACTCAAAGGATATTAAGAACCAACGCCAACAAAATGCCTTTATGGTCCCTGGTGGACACCAGTATCCTCAAGTTGTCATACTCCCTGCTGAGCCGGAACTGGGAAACACTAATCCGGATGATCCTCCAGCATATTCGGTGAGTAAAACTTTGTTGTAAGAAGGAGAAACTGGCCGGTTTGCTCGTACATCGAAAACTTCAGTTTACATTACAGGTTGTTGTTAATAGTGGTGGCGGTACAGTCGAGACAGCAAAAGAAGAAACACAACCACCGAAGTACTCCGAACTAGAAACTCCTTCTGATAGTAATACTTCTGAGTACGTGAGACTTGAAAATCGTTTTTGCACTAGTAGAAAATTATTAGTTTAGATTTATGTGTGCAAACCTTTCAAATAATCGAAACTCTCTCAACAAAACCATAGTGATAGCGCGGAGATAAAGCATGAATAAAAAACTCGTAATGCTATAAATGCTCTAAGTTGAATATCTGTGTAATTTACTGCTTTTGGGATTTTGACATGGATATCTAGAAATAAAGCTTTAAAAATACGTATGAACGCCTTCTCACCGTCTGTCTCAATCTGTATTTTTCGACGTTTATCGCAATGTTTAGAGGTATATGTTTGAATTCAGCGTTACGCTATTCCACGCATGACCTAACTCTGATAATTACTACTTATTTGAATTCTGGAGCAAAATCTTTAAAAAATACACTTTCAAACTTCGACCGAATCGGATATGACAGAAGATGAATCTTTGCACTAGCCTACTTTCTGGAAGGAGAGGATCTTCTCTTTGTGATCACAAACTGATATAGCTTTAAACAGTGATTGGGAAACTTCCCAAAGCGCAAAGGAGAATTTTAGAGAGAGACAGTCTTAGAAAAGAATGATCCCTTACTAATTAGTATGTACTACCAATCAAACGGTCCATATCAACTTTGGTTTTGTTAACTGAAAAAAACCGCAAATTAGACACGTAATTACTATGCAAAAGTATCCGTAACAAGGATTCCGCAATTTATATTTACTTCAAAAAATAACTTAACTTCAAGCAAGCTCAAAATTAATTTGTAGTCAACTTTATTTAACTCGCTATTCGAGGAAGTATAAGTAAGTAGTAGTTCGAGGAAGTAAGTGATATTAAAAGTGGGCTGCATTATGAAGATAAAGTGAGGCAATGCTTCTTATTGTATACTTATTATCCTATGGGACCTTCCATTGTTAGGAACAAATCAACACGCAGTTGAACACCTCGACATGCTTCATCAACACAGCATAAATAAAAACTGAAGTTCACATAACAGTTTATACTTGGCCATTGGCATCCATACTTGCGATGGTTCCACGCATAAGATGCATAATTATTACCGCGACATGACGCGGTCTCCTATGATGTGTGGGGCGGTAGTAAATTCCCTGTATGTTACGACATCAAGGTTGTAACATGTGACGAGCGTGGCTCGCGCCAAATCCAGCTATCTCGCACTGTGCCGTATCTCTCAACGTGTGAGCGTGACGTGGTACGAACACCTCGCAACATCGGTGGTTGCTAGGAGGATGCGCCGATGTACGAGGTTTGCGATGTTGTGACATCGCGACAGGCGCGAGGTGAACTAGTGCGCGGATTGCAGAGAATCA